GTACACAATTTTCTGCCTTCTATAAAAAGTGGACTCTCGGAAAAAAAGAAGTGGACTTTTCTCTCTAGATGTAGAGCTTGTCTCGATGTGGGGTCAAAGCCCTTGTATCTTGCAATTTGCAAGCAACATGAACGGCGAGCGTCCGCAAACGCAAACACGTGTGCAGGGAGGAAGCACCGTCGGAGACGAAACCAAAGCAGCAAAAACAACTTCTCCGGTTAATAATCCAATCATCGCACGGAAACACCACGTCTCGTCTCTCCATGTAGCAAAAGCAATTGGTAGCAGAAGAAAGACGCCACGCAAAGCCCAGTCCGGCGTCGCCTCCTCCTCCTCCGGCGATAGGGTTTCTCCCGATGGAGCAGCTCTCCACCTCCTCGCCGGCGGCGCCGCCCCCGCCCCCGTGGCGGCCGCCGACGAAGATCAGGCTGCGGCGCCAGAGGCTGGAGGCGCTCCTGCAGGAGCTCCGGCAGACGCTCGACGGGCTGGGCGACGCCGATCTCGGCGCCTCTCTCTCCGACGCGGACGCCTACACCGAGGCGCCCGAGTACGGGGACAGCGAGGGCGGCGGAGACGACGACGACGGTGACTCGGCGGCTTCGATGGCGAGCGACTCCGACCGCGCCACGGACCAGGTACGGACGCGGCGAGGTTTGGGACTTCCGAGCCTGAAAATTTTCAGACCATGAGGCTTTAATTAATCGCATTAACTGGCGCGTAACTGTTGACCAATTGCGGTAATTCGACCAAGTTCTCGTTAGGTTCGTCGAACTAACTTGATCGGTTATTAGCCATCTGGATCTGAGTTGCGTACCTCGATTCCGGAACTAATTAAAAAGTGTTTCGATACTACTGTTTCTCATATTTGTATGTGATTCGTCTGCTTGGCGAGTGCTGACTGCGGACGAGTTGCGAACATCTGGAGTCAGATAAGTCTACCATGGAAAGGTGTCCTTTTACTAGAAGCAGGATCAGATGCAGTGAGGTTATCCAAAATAAAGATGTTGACATCTGTGATGGCGGAACAGTGGAATGTGATGGTTTAGGCTAAACATCTTCCTAGTATTCATAAACTAGGAATATAACTGCCGTTAACAGTGGTGAGGATCAAGGATCAGTATAGCACGTGCAATCATTTTTCTATATTACATGTTATCCCCACTTTTCCCATTTAGAATGTGCACCGAACAATCTCATGTCACTTTGGTTTTATTTTCTCGAGTGATATGAGGGAGAGCATGGAGAGTTTTTATTATAGTTCATGTTGCTATGAAGCTGTTAGCTGTCCCAACGCTCTGAAGATTGAACGGCTTGCTTTCACCTTGCAGGTGTTTGATCTCCTTAAATCTAGGTTTGAGTCACCAGAATTTCTTCAGGAGTTCCATGAAATTCAAAAGTCTGTATGTCAAAACGGTGCAGGTATTCCTCTACTGAATAACTCATGCACTGGAATGTTATGTTTCGCATATCTTTTTAGTTAACCTTTCTCGAAATAGAGTTGTGATACTCTAGTTCATTTGATGTTCTTTGCTGCAGTTGAATTGGATACATCATGGGATGTGATAAAGGCGGGAGATTTGTGGGAAGATGATGACGACAATGGATATGTTCTTGTTAAGCCAGAGGATGCAGCTGAAGGGATAGCTTTCTTTGTAGCCACATACTTATCGACACTTACAAAAACCAAGGTAGGAATGTCCTGCTATTTTCACTTCAATGTGATTCAATCATCAACTTGAAACCTTCGTTCTTGTTCCCTTATGATGTGGTTTGATGCAATGAACAATCATTGGTCTAACGTCTGTCCACATGATAATCAGTATATCTGAGAAAAATTGGTTCATTTCTGTGTCACACATCTCTCTTTATAAGAGATGCCCCAGTCACCATGTTCCCGACTTGATATACTTGTGCTGCTCTTCTCTATAATATCTCACTGTCGTTTTTTTTACCGACTCGTTTCTCTTCATGTATGTGAGTTGATCTATACATCTGATCCATGAATATCTCATGTTCTACAGGAATTATCTCCTGATCGACTTCAGAAAGGTTTGCTCTCTCTTTTCTTTGTTCATCAGAATGATTACTTGAATCATTTCAAATGAAAGTTTTGATACTGAACTTCATCACCGCTCTTCTGTCAGCCCTTAAGAAGACATTTTCAGCCGAGAAGAGAAAAGGCAAACTTCGGAAGGCATGGGATGGGACAAAAGTCATTTATAATGTAGCTTCATGGGGTGCCACAGCTGTTGGGTAAGTTATTTCCTTGGGCATGAACTTTTGAGAAATGTTGACCCAACCTGCATAACTTGTTACTAAGCTTGAGTTCCCGAGGGAAATACTGCAAATTAGTTTTCTGTCCAATCCTCAGCGGCTAATTTCATTTCACAAAGCACACAAGCTGGTGATGAGCATAGTCAAATGTACTGCCAGTTATGTCTTCAGTGTTTGCCTCGGTCATCCATTTGGTAACCTCATCCAATCTAGTGGGTTACATATTGCTGCAAGCTTCAAAATGCTCCTGGAGAGGTTAGGCTCTATTAGTCTTCACTAGTACTCTTTACTAATTAACCCTAGGAGCAAATATGTGATATGTGTCAGCCCCATGATTGATCACTTCCAAGATCTGATGGAGTCAACTAATCTAGACTGGTTGTGGCCTATGTAAGATTGCCATAATTTGGGGCATCAATCGGGGATGGGACCTGTTTGGACAAGGGACAGTCACACCCTTAAAAATTGCATCTAGATAATACTCCCTCCGTCCTAAAATGAGTGTCTTGAGCTTAGTACAAATTTATACTAGAGCTAGTACAAAGTTGAGACACTTATTTTGGGACGGAGGGAGTAAATTATTAACAGCCCTTATTTCATTTGTAAGTACTGCATGTATGCATAATACATATCCTGTGTGATCTGATTGCAGTGCACATTTTTCATGGTAACAGCATCTACAATAACCAAGCAATTCTTAAGGCAGCAGGCACAGCCATTCAGATGTCCTGGCGTGTGGTGTCCAAGTTCCTGTGAGTGATGGGTGGTGGTGATTGTTGTTACTGGCGTGCTACATTTATTTAGGTATAAAGGATACCACATTGGTTGGAAATGTCCGAGTAGTTGATATACTGCCGATTGAAGAATTGAGGTCTAGAGTTTAGGTCTATTGGGATGCTTGAAGGATTGAGGCTTAGCGTTTAGGTTTGTTGATTGAAGGCTCGGAAGCCCATTTAAATAAATTACGCTGGTGCTCGAATGTAAATAGGCCATTAATTTGGCTGCGTGAAGCAACTGAAGCTCAGCATATGTATCCTAAAATGTAAATATGATTCATTTGATAACTTCACATTGGTGCCAGAATAAACTTCGTGAATAAACTGCACCAACTGAATGTGACCATTTGTTTGAATACTTCTATTTCTGTGCCAGAAAAGGCATATGCTCAAATTGATTGCAAACAATTGTACCAGATGTTGTATCGAATGGAGCTTTGACACATTACAGTGGCGATATTGAAACTCAGTAACATATGCAGGGCATCCTCCTTTGTTTTGTAACCGACGGCACTTAAAACCAAAAATCTGAACCCTAAGGCACAAGGAACAATCGTGCCACCACAACCAAATAAGAAACTAATGGCACATCTGGAGCATACATGGCCCAGCCACTGGTGTTGTTCCTTTTATTCCAGGAGACCCACCCAATTTTACAGATCCAAAACGCAAAGATGAATGGGGTAATCATACGTCGTCTACATTACATTCTCCAAGGTAAACCTTGACGCTTCGAGGAGAACCACAGCTACCTTCCGCTATAAGTGCTCTATCGTTGGCTGCCATGTGCTGAATTATTTTGTATATCATCTCAATCTGATGCAAATAAAACACATAATGCACGAGTTAAGATATTGCAAAATATAAGTTGGCAAAAAACAAAAGGCATCAGAAAGGTGAAATTACATCTTCAGGGCAATGGCAACGATCTGCGATTTGTTCCAGGGTCAATGGTTCAGCAGGGTCTTTGCAGCTGAAAGAGAACAAGAAACATATATGACCAACAGGAATCTAAGTACCCCCAGAAGGAGCATTCATAGGATTAATCAACGGAAGTCAAAGTACATGCATAAGTCAACAATATTTCATGTCTTCAGCGGTTCTGCTAATAACCTGGAACTCTGTGATGTGCTGAAACTGGAAGCACATTTGCAGTGAAACTAGCAATAAGAGATGCTTGTCATAGGGTAAAGTGCAAGCCATGACTGCGAGCTCGTCAAATTTAACCGAGTGGGGCACCATTTGGTTGCAGCGTCAATGGTTCAGCAGGGTCAACAAAAAACTGTAATAGGACTCCCTTAGGGCCAAAGTGCATCAATGGTTCTGATGGCCTTCAGGAAAATGGTCGCAAATGATAAGCAAATTTAGTCCATAAACAGAAAATCTAGCACACCTAAGCTTTAGATGTATATCTGGTCTGAGACAGTACAGTACCCTATGAGAGGAATGCAATGGGATGGATGGTAGAGGGCTGCCTGCGCCCGAAAGCGATGATTCACTTATCCCCTTGTCTATAGGGACCTTGTGGCATACGACCGCCACGACTCCTGCGTTATAGCAGCCCGTTTCTCTCTTTCTTTTGACTGTCTCGTGGATGGACGAAAGAAGAGAAGTTACAGAAGGGGCAGTGAAGGCTCGCCAAGTGGACAGCAATCCCCCACCCCCGCAGTCCTGTGTTGCAGTAGCGTGCCCTACTTTAATAAGGGATCAGTAGCTGGTCCGAGAGGATGATCAGCCACACTCGGACTGAGACACGGCCCAGACTCCTACAGGAGGTAGCAGTGAGGAATTTTCCTCAATGGGTGAAAGCCTGACAGAGCAATGCCGCGTGGAGGTGGAAGGCCTACGGGTCGTCAACTTCTTTTCTCGGAGAAGAAACAATGACGGTATCTGAGGAATAAGCATCGGTTAACTCTGTGCCAGCAGCCACAGTAAGACATAGGATGGAAGCGTTATCCGGACTGATTGGGCGTAAAGTGTCTATAGGTGGCTTTTCAAGTCCGCCTGTTCAAGCAGCAGTCTTGCTATCTGGTGGCATGTAACTGTCAATCATAATCCATGAAGAATTTCTGAAATCTAGATTATTCTAAAGAAAATCAGTTACCCAAGAAACATTCAGCAGGTAACAGAGGGCATGCATACTATGTAATCTAAACATTGCCTGGAATACTACGTAAAACAAGTACAGCTTCATCAAAGAACAAAAGATGTAATACCCCCTGTAAAAAAACGTCTTATATTTTGATGCAGAGGAAGTAAGAGATTTCATACCTGGCCTCATTGAGAACAGTCAGCACCCTTTTCTGAAGGGCCAATACCTCTCCTGCTGCTTTTTTCCCTGCCTCGACACCTGCATCATACAGCATATATAATGATAAGAATGAGAACAATAAGTTATGGATCCTGAGCAATACTAGTGCATCTTGAGGATAGTACCAGGCTGATGATATGCATTGATGTTTACTAAAGAAGCATAAATTCCAACTGCACGTTCATAGAGTGCAACCAGTGCTCCAACAGCTCTGGGAGTTACTTCTTCCACAGTAACGGAGATGGACTCTCGGTCATTAGAATAAAGAGCAGAACGTGTGCCCTGCGAGGTATAGGTTTCCTCTGTCATTAATTATCGTACTAGTGCACAAATTAACATAATTCTATCTCTTAAAATCTGAACGCTGAAGACAAACCTGCAACATCCCAAACAAGTAGTCACCACATGTGACTCCAGGTTCAAGCTCCCAATCATGACCGGGAGGCCTATCACGCAAAACCTCGATAAAAGTAACGAAGAAGTTGTGCACCCCTTCTCTTAGCTGTTGAATGTAGCTGCAACCATAGACAGTTCAGTAAAAGTTGCACTTTAACCAAAGTAATGTAAAAAAATAACTGTGAACTTACGCATGTTGGTCGGTGCTTCCTTTGTTACCATATACCGTTAGCCCTTGATTAACCTGCCATTAAAAAATTATATGCTTAACAAAGCACATAACTGAGCACAAAATCTGGCAGCTGCCAGTGTAGATACAGAACATCAGGTACTGGGAGTAGATAAGCAAGGATACATACCCGATTGCCGTCAAGGTCAAATTCTTTCCCAAGAGATTCCATGACAAGTTGCTGTAAGTATCTACTCAAAAGTAGCAGACTATCCTTGTAAGGAAGTACGACCATATCCTGGAAGAGGGGTAAAATCACTAGTAAGCAAAGTACTGAAATCAGAAACCTTGACAGAAATTGTAACCAATGAAGACACAAACCTTACTGCCTATTCCATCTGTAGCCCAATACCAAGATAACGCAAGTAATGCTGCTGGATTTTCCTTAACCTGGATAAGTGCAAAGCAATATTTGAGACATCTCCATAGTCATATCATATGACCAAACTAGTCTATACATCTAAAATCCATACCACAGTGTTCCTGGTCTCCTCATCCATTAGTGCTGCACCAACTAGCATTTCCTTGACATCGATACCCTGGTAAGTGGCAAAAATCACTCATGTTAATCTGGAATTTCATGGAAGTCTGCTTCTCTGCAACACAGGAAAGCGGAAGGCACTGACCTGTAATGCAGCTGGAAGTAACCCCACCGCTGACAATTCTGATGTTCTACCACCAACCCAGTCAAACATAGGAAATCGATCTAACCATCCCTCTATTCTGGCAGTGTTATCTAATAGAGAATTTTCTTGAGTAATTGCAACACCCTGCAAAACAGATGTGTCATCAAATATCAAGTGTTTTACAATAAGGCTGTGAGCAATCTGTTTCCGTCTTAGAAAATTGTATGATTGTCTTATGCACAGTTTGCACACTGGTTTAGAAAAATCAATTGTATTATCAAGATGAATGTTTACTTATTAAGCATTGACAATGACCACAGAATTATGTATTGATGCATCGAATCCATAGAGAATCAAGTTATACGACACAACTAAAACACTACAAACGCGGTAAGAACTGGATCCAGGGCAGTTCATACAGATTCTCTCCTTATCACTAGTCTGTACATGAAACATGAGACAAATCATTTCAGTGTACCTCACAACCCTGATAGGATGGCATCAGCATCTATAGTAAATTAACAGTCCAGAGTAATATTCATTGGTTGCAGTTAAAGATTAGCCCAACATACAGCATTTGTCATTTCAATATACTCCCTCCGTCCCAAAATAAGTGTCTCAACTCTAGTACAACTTTGTACTAAAGTTAGTACAAAGTTAAGACACTTATTTTGGGACAGAGGGAGTATGAATTAACATGCAAAAGGGGGAAAAAGAACTGAGGTCAAAACCTGTTTTGAAAAATCCAGTCCAGCATCTCTGAAGGCTTTTTGTACTTCTAGTAGACCATTCCGGGTTTCGGGTGTACCACCACTCTGTACGTATAAACAAGCATGTGATGCGAACAAGTATCTAATAGTAATGGGAAAAGAGAGGCATAATAAGGAAATATAGGAACTATATATGTACCTTAGAGATTACAATTACAAGAGTAGATTTAAGTTCCTCCCCTAGTTGAGCAATTTGATGATCAATTCCAGCAGGGTCGGTGTTGTCAATAAATCGTATCTGATATCCAGCAGAAAAAGGGTAATGCTTGTAGTGCTTGAAAGTTGAAACACACCTAAATACACAAAATGGAAAAATGCAATCAAGGTACATTGCGCAGATTAGAAAACTCAGGACAATACCTTCAATGGGGGGTTATCAGGCGCAAGTGCCTCGGAAACAAATTGAGGCCCCAAAGATGATCCTCCAATTCCTATAGAGAGTATTTGAGTAAAACGACCAGCCTGAGACGACGGAGGTTTAATCTGCATTTTTATAGCAAAACTGGCTTGTAAGAGCTTGTAGTGAACTAATGATTATTAGTGAGGTACAAAAAGCCTGAATAAGCTTAACATAATGGGCAGCTATCTCTTGTATGAGGCACATTCCCTAAAATGCAAGCAAGACAATCTCCAAACTGTGTGTGTGCT